TATGGCTGCAAAGGAGGGTGGCTGGCAAAGCAACTGTATCATAACCAGAATGCTGAGTTCTATTATCTACTGCACCACACGTACACACACACTGCATCAATGGCCTCAATTCATAGCAGCAATCACGATGATAAATAAAATCTACAGAAAAAGCATGCATTACTCACTGGGTTTTATTCTTTAGCTTCTTCAGCATGTAATTCTTTACGCTTTACAGTGTAGTAGGTATGAAATGAAACATTTTCCCCCTTTATTCCATGGATGCCTCTGTTTGAATACCATTAGATACCAAGGACAATAGGCAGGATCAGCTCCAACATTAAGAGCAAATATTTAATGGAAGACTGGTTACCCCGGTCTCTCCCTTTCACATCTCTGCCTCATGTATCCAGGCACGGGTGGTACTGGCTCCCTTGAGAGGCTGTAGCTAGCAGCTGAGGCACAAACTAAAACATGGCATGGATGTCAAGGAGCTGATGTCACAAAAACAAGTATTTCTCTGAGAAAAACAGCAATTCCATTAGGGAAGTCCTCCAAATCGATTGGAATTGTTCAGCTGAACACACTTCGTTATACAATGCACTGCAGCAGCAGGAGTGATAAATCAGACCAAGATCTGTCAGCGAAAATAAGCTGAGACTACAATAACTAAGTTCTAAACTGCCAATCAGATCCCGTGCTTTATATCAGGCTATCAGGAAGGCATCGCTTATGAGTATAGAAGGGAAATACAAACCTGAACAACTCTAACAGCTTTAGTACCAATCCCAAAAGAATAGCTCATCTACTAAGAAAGTTAAAATATTTCTAAACACAAAAGACTGGCCTAGAACTCTGCCATCTTTATCAGGACACACTGTGATCAAGTACCACCTCCAGTCCAGCAGATGCTAGAAACACCCAAGAGAGGTCACATTCACTGTCTGCAGAGACATGCAAGATGGTTTAGAAATCCTGCCGCCTCACCCACTGCCACCCCAGCCTGCAGGGATGGGTTAAGTGGCTGGCTGAAGGTAAAAGGTGCCATTTCTACAACAGACACCATACCTTTGGACTGGGAGCTGGATCTGGCACGAAAAAATAAAAAAGAAAAGAAAAAGGCACCATAATTCAGGAGCTAAAGAATACAGAAACAACACATGTTCATGTACTGGAGACTCCAAATTCAATCTTGCAGATAGCATCACATCAATACAAGAAGGTGGGTTCTTCGAGCACAAAAAAAACTTTTCTTAAGGCATGCAAACAGAATGCAATATTAGTCACATGGGTTATTCCATTAATGGATTACATGCATTTATTTCAAGCTTTGCTGGCTGGTACAATCTCAAAACCACATCCACTTCACAAAAGCCCAGGCCAGCTAGCAACTGTACCATTAGATTTCAACATGAATGTGGAACATTCTGTGTGGATTTCTGCACTCTACTTCCAAAGCATTGTTGTTCTGAAGGAACTGGAAAGAAAACCCCACAATTTTACAGAAGTTCACCACAAAAATATTTGTAACTCAGAAGATCACATACTATTTGAAATAACCACTCCATGACCTAATAAGAATAAGTGACGTATTGCAAGCGAAATTACTTCACAATTGAATACATTAGTTGAAAAATCCCATTTCAAACTGGCTGCAGTTCTGTAACAAACAAGATGTCCACACTTTGAGACTGCTAATTTAAGTAGAAGCTCGTTTTGGGCAGAGCAACTAGTTAACCGTGTATGTGTCTCTGGAAATCACCAAAGGCAAACTCATCAGCTCCTTTACACTGTAAACATGATGCTGTAGAAAAGAACATTTGGAACATTCTCATTTTTTAAGATAATTTCGTATGAACTTAACTACGGTGATAAAGCATCGTAAAATAAAAAAAATAATAATTTGATTTGAAACATACCAAATATTTTCTGAACAAATGACAGTATTTTAGTCCTGTCAAAATAATGCTTTAAATGAACTGTATCACCAATCTCAATAACATTTCCATACAGCCTGAGTGCAACGCAGATGCTTGTTGTATGCCTTTAGCTAACAAGCAATACCAGTGAATGCATCAGTTTATGCTGAATTAGCACCAATACAATTTAATAGGCCTGTTGTAAACCAATTTGAAAATAGTTCCAACTAGGCCCCATCACTAGATTTCCATGCAGGCCCCATGGATGCAGAGGCAATGTGCACTGAATTTATTCATTAAATTATGAGAAACCTGACCACATATCACTCATCAAACACATCCTACAAAACAGACTTTTTAAGCCACCAAAGTATGATTCAACATGACCTGTAAAATCACCCAGGGAGAAACACCCCATAGACAGAAAAACCAGGTCACCTGAGCCACACTTATCTGTGTGGTTCTCTAGTTCACACTGCAGCTTTAAATAACTAACACCCCTAATAAATTAACACAAACTTTTGTACTAAAGCATCTACACTTTTAATGAGATCATTACATTGCAGTGAACTTTATCATGCCACATTACTTGCACAGGTACCCTTTTGAGCAACAGCCTTTTCTCTCCTCCACTTAACTTACATTTCTTGACAGTATTTCACATTAGTTTGCTCTGTGTTGTCACAAAGAATTCTACCTGGGGCTTGCACCAGTCTAGGTTGGTACAATATGAGTATTTCCTCCTTCCCCCTTTAAACAGCAACAGAAGCAGAAGCAGAGATAAAGGCAGCTGGTTCTTCCAAGTTCTTAGACTGGAAAAAGAGAGCCCAGATGAGCTCACTCCCTACAGTTTTCAGCCAACAAATTAGAAAAAAAACAAAATGGGTTTTGGCATGTTGTGGAACAACCCCAAATACCACAGTGATGCCAGACTTGGTTGCCCCATTCTTAGTAGCAGAATTAAGGGGGGAGGCACCCCAAAGTTAGACACTGAAATAAATCACCACAAGACAGCTGTTTCACAGAACACAGCCTGAAGACTTATGATGGGAGTATTAACACTTCCATTGAGCTTTGGCATCAAAATCTGCCCTGGAAGAGTATGACAAGCATTCTAAGGCTAGGTAATCCCCAAATTCAGCACTGTAATTCTCACAAAAGTCAAAAGCACGTAAGATACTGAACTACCCATGCATGCCAAAACATCATCACCAAAATAAGATCCGTATCAATCATGCACCCTTCCTCTGGAGGTTTATCTACTTTTCACAGGATTTTTTAGAGATTAATAACCTTTTCATAAAAATGGCTGTATCTCTCTCCTCAGTACCTCATTTCTTTTCCCTGCAAAAAGCCAAAAGAAGCACAAAAGAAAAGGACCGCATTTGAATGTGCATTTAAAATCCTGATTTCTCTCCTCCAAATACACCAGCAACTTGAAACCAGTATTAATTCTCAGAAATATTAGAACAGCAGAAACAGAACTTTTACCTTCTATTAAGAAACCACAAAACAGATGTAACAGTAAGTTACAAAACCCCTTGAATATATTTCTTTATATGACTGAAAAATATTAAACTAAAACTTGGTAACATTTTAGTACTCACTGTCTTCTCCTGGACAAGGCATGCCAGGTTTCTCTGGAATACTTGGGAAAACTGAAACAAAAACATTAGAGTTTAAGTTAAAATATTCTCAGTAATACTTCTTCCTTGATTCTTGGATATATTTACACAAAGACAGTTTCTGGAAGCCTTTAAACAATTCTGCATGAGAAATTACATAACCAAAATTCGGTTTCATACTGGCAAGATCTTGTGCTTGACTACAGCATTACCAAATCCGTGCAGTTTAGCACCCTAACCTCCCTCAAAGCCTACTGAATAGTTTCAGCTTTGGGCTCCACACCCAAAAGAACACTTCCTTCTTAAAACACTAAACGCCAGTGCACCAGCTACATTAAGAATGTTATTCAGTGTGCAAAGGAGTTGTCCAATCTCACATTGAAAATACATTTGTAATTACCAACAAATGCATACAGGTTCTTGAACTGTGTAATACTTGCCATGAATAATCAGCCCTTCATCTCTGTTCTGACAATACAAACGGAAAGCTTCTTCCAGCTCCATCTGAGAAGAGATGGTACATGGGTCACCTGAAAAAGAGCAACACAAGCAAGTTTATGACAGAAAAATTAAGTAGCGAATTTCAGTTAGCAAGAAACATACCAGCCTCCAGTATTGCTTTTCTAGCAATCATTTGATATTAATTTGATATTTGGTATTTTGATCAAAGTCAAAATATATCAACACTTCCCCCCCAGCCCCTTCTATGTTTATAGAAACTGTAGCTAGAAATACACTGTGTTGGTTTGCAAGGGGACAACAAAACAGAAAAGTGGATATGCTTAAAGATCTTTAAAACACAGCACACAAAAGAAAAAGAAAAAAAAAAAGCAAAATCACTTCCTAATAACCTGAAACCTTCAGTTTAATTCAAAGTTTATTTACCCTTTCTTAAAAGCCCCATCATCTTGCTACCTTAACTTCATTGACTACACAACCATGAAGCTACAGAGCTACAGATAGATTCTAGTTGAGCCTCTTGCCAGACTGACAGAAAGCAATCTACAGTTAAAAAGTATAAAAAAAATAAGATACAGGTGAAAGTTATGGATGGGACACAAATATGTCAACGCTTATGTAGAGATGGAATTAATCTTAAATCACATATTACTGAAACCTGTATGTCAGAAGACGACCTTTCCAAGGTATAAATCCTGATCAGGTTAAGTGAGAACATCTGAACTGGAAGATAATACCTCTCCGGTAGGCAGAAATACTGTTTTAACAGCCCATGATAGACTCTAGATCAGTGGTCTCCAAACTTTTTTGGAAGCACACTCCATTAAATTTTTAGAGCACAAATCCCTACTATGCAAGTTATGTGCATTATAAAAACATACACAAATATGGAAATATTTAAGGGATGAGAAATATTAAAAATTATTTTTCAATGTACAAAGATGTACCTCAAAATATTAAATGTAAAGATAATTTTAAGAGCTGTGTGACTAAACATGCTTCATAACTTTTGACAATCTAGGTTTAACATTTTGATATAATGAGTCAAAGGTCTAGTTCTAAGCTCAGTTTATTTCAGTTTTAATGGTGTCATAGCTAAAGAAAAAAAGGATACCATAAAGATACATAGACCCGAATGGAAGAAGTGCATCGTTGGCTGTGCTTAATAGCCAATAGATCCTAATACTCATTCTTCAATCCCAACCACCATTTATGCAAAGATTTTGTTGGCAAACAGTGAGCAAATTTTCACCTTCCCTGATTTCAATCAGCTGCTCTTGCATTACCTATTATCTCAAAACACACTTAGGGTGAGGTTCATCATTAAAAATAGTAGATGTAAATACATATTTCAAATACTGTTCTAGATAATTTTGAATCTTCTTGACTGACTTCTTGCCACATCTGATTGAATGGCCATTGTTCTCCCCCTGTCCTGTGGCTGACAGAGTTCATGCTTCCAAGTAGGAAAGAGAAAAGTCAGCTCCACCATTTCTTGTTGTCTGCCTGTGCTCGCATTGTCAGTGTTACCTTGTGAGGGTTATTTTGGTTAAAACTAGGTAATTAATCCACAAATCCACTTAAGCAGACACACGTAAACTGCTGTACATCACAATACACAGAAAGCAAGCAAACAAGCAAGGGAGTCACTCTAAATCCCGGCGGCTTTGTGGAACACCCACCCTTCCCGCAGCAGCCTTGCCCACCAAATGTGACTCATGACCACCAAGTAAAGATTAATTTCTTATTTTTTTTTTAAGGCAAATGCTGACAGGGTAAAATCAAAGTGTTCTTGGCAAGAATTTGAAGTTAAGAAATTTTGAGGGAGACAGCATCAGGCTGATGAAAATCTGAAATTAAAACTCTGCATTCAGTACAGAAGTATGGAATAGTAAAACATGAAAGTTTTACATAGCCTTCAATTCTACAGAAGTGAATTCAAGTGCTCCTGCCATCATCCATGTTTTGAGGCTTATTTCTCCAAACTCCCTGCTTTGTAAGTCATACCCTCCTATTTAAAAACAAAAAGTAACGCCACAATATGAAACTTGTATAAACAGGTTTCCTCAATGCCTCTTCTTAGTACCACAATGAACAATAAACTCAAGAATGCTCAAGTAGTATTTCAGTACAATACCTTCATCATCAATCCACTTGAGGGTAATTGGCTGTTCCTGCTGTAAATTACACATCTCATGTACTTCATCACAAAGTTCATCATAGCTCATTGATGCATCCAAGTTTGTTATCAGGATGTCCCTGCACAAGATGAAAACATAAGCTTTTATCAGAAAATATCTGCGTTAGCCTTCATATCCCAGTAATTCCATAAAACCAGCATTCCTCATATGAAATGACACACTACTGTCAAAGCAGGGCAAAGATTTAAAAAAATAAGATGAAGAAAAAAAATTTTGCAAAACAAAACCTGAGAATGCAAACTAGACCTTCTCCTATTTTCTAAGTATTTTTCAAATGACAGACTCAAGGAAACCAACTGATTAAACAAGTGCAGGAAGAAAGAAAATGTACTTAAGTAATCTCCCATATGAAGACAGGCTGAGAAAGTTGGGGCTGTTCAGCCTGGAGAAGAGAAGCTGCACAGAGACCTCAGAGCAGCCTTTCAGTATCTAAAGGGGGCCTACAAGAATGCTGGAGAGGGACACTTCATCAGGGACTGTAGCGATAAGACAAAGGGTGATGGGTTCAAACTGAAACAAGGGAAGTTAGATACAAGGAAGAAGTTCTTTACTGTGAGGGTGGTGAGGTGCTGGAACGGGCTGCCCAAAGAAGTGGTAAATGCTCCATCCCTGGCAGTGTTCAAGGCCAGGTTAGACAGAGACTTGGGTGACATGGTCTAGTGTGAGGTGTCCCTGCCCATGGCAGGGGGAAGTGGCTGTTGAAACTAGACAATCTTAAGGTCCTTTCCAACCCAAACCAGCCTATGATTCTACCTCGGTGCTTTCAAAACCTTCTAGAGGATAATTAGGAAGCAGTTTTGTAGTTAATAGCTACTGGCATATGTAATTCCTCCCCTCTTAGTTTAATACAGTAGATATCTCGGAAGTTCCCCAGTAAGACTGAGATAATTTTCCCATTTTCATACTGTGTGACAGGTCATTTTAGAATCTGTGCTGTATTACATACT